CTCCCATAATGCTGAAAGAGGCTCCCAGGCAGATGGGCATCATGGCTGTGTATTTGATGATGTGATGCTGCTTGCCTAGGATCAGTGTGGAGATGGCCAGGGTAAAAAGTGGGGTGGTAGTGTATATCATTTGTGCAAATGACAGCTGGACATAGTTCAGACCCATGTTTCCAAAGGCGATGCTGGCACAAAACGTCAGGCTCAACAGGAACACCTTACATTTTGCGCTGGGGGTCAGGTCCTGCTCTCCGATCCCTCTGTGGCGGATCACCTGCAGCTTGATCAGGCCGTAATCCACCACTATGGCTGTCAGCATGTGCAGAGCTGACAGCAGCAGAGGGTACCTGAAGTTGTAAACGGCAAATATCCATTTGTTGAGACTGGAGATGGTGGTGCCGGTCACCAGCCAAACAATGACAGCTGACAGCAGATGGAGCATCTCTGCGGGTGGCCTCCTCCTCCTCCTCCCTGTCTCTTGCAGGGTCGCCTCGCATTTTGAGAAGCCATCGGCGCTGATCATGTTCTTATCATTGTCCTCTCTGTAAGGAAAACACATGTTCTGCTCGCACCTCTCATCTCAATCACAAATGGATGATAAAACCGGCTGAAAGCTGCGAAAATAACCGAGAGGCAGCTGTTTTACCCACTCTGCGGTCTTTTTGTTGCCCAGTAAAAAACAGAAGTGCGTTTTTCAGCACCGCCTATAGACACGTGTTTCTGTTTTACATGACGGCCTGATTGTGTAACACACCCCTGCGTTGGCAATATGACATTATCCAACAGTAAGACAGCCGGAGGAGAGGAGCTCGGGGCGGGCTGGAAAACCGTCCGCGCCTTCCCACACACGACGGGGAATGACTGGATTGGTTATTATTATCCCGACGTGTAGCAAAACGACCGCAAGTGACGAGCCAGTGAGCTGTAAACACGATGGGGCATGCCGTGCGCCTGTCATTTAAAGCCAATAAGTATTTATCTACACATGAAATTAGGGGAATTATGTTTTTTCCCGTTTATGCAGGCTACAAATAGCATCTTTTTCCCAGCTCTGGAGAAGCAGAGCGAGAACCTGACATCAGAAGCGACATATAACGCTAAGTGCAGCGCACTCGGACAACATTTCATTCATGGCCCTGAGCGCTTTAAATTTAACAGTTTTAGCCAAAACAGAGGGGTCGACAGCCTCACACAGTTTAACAGTAATGTGTCTGAAGTTATCTAACCTCTACTGTGGACTGGCACTTGACACCAGACGGCTAAATGCCATTATGCTCATGCTAACGCTAGCTAGTGACTCTAAACCGCAGTGTTAGCTAACAGCAGGTTGTTAGCTACAAGAATATTAAGGAAAAAAGGAAACACCCGTTTATCCTACAGGCTTTGCGACGAGTTAGAAACCAATTAGATACATCTCAGAGATACTTGATCAGAATAGGAGCTTCGCCGCTTTTACCTTGTTCTGACAGCATCCCCAAATCTCCGTCACTCGGTCACCAAACTGTCAGCCAAGCCGAGCCGGGCGGGTGGTGTCATTGGACGGTTCACTTAAAGGGCAACGCTACTGTTTTTAACTGTGTTTGTGTAGTATGTCATAGACCGGGAGTGTCACACTCATTTTTAGTTCACGAGCTCCGTCTAGCCCAGCCAGCTTAATCCTAAGTGGGTCAGATCGGTTAAAGAACTGAGTAATTGAATACAAATAGTACAGCCTAGGATAAAAAAAAAAAAAAACCTGTGCACGTCAGTAGTGCAATAATAAGTAATATGTACTCTATACCAATCTTAAAAACCGGCTGAAGGTGTATAACAAAAATAATTGTGTAATCTTATGCCTGACAGGAGTGCTCACCAGTCACAGAAAGAAGAGTTGTTGTACAGTTTTATAGAGAACAGTAGGAATGATTCTCACACCTCTCTCACTCTCTGATACCTTTATAGATGGGTATCAGTTCTTTTTGAGTTATTACTCTCGCTATATATGCATATATATATAAAGTACAAAGGATAAAATTGAATAGAGTTCCTATTTGAAAAGCAAATGTGTTTGGCACAGCAGTGCATTCAGACCATGATTGTGCTTGCTGAAGGTGCCGGACAGGATAAGTTAGTTAATTAATAAATAACTACAAATTCTGACCTTAAGCCTCAAAAATCTGATGCCACCATCTCGATGTTGCAGCAGAAATCAATACCTAACGAAATTTTTTCAGAGCTCTACTGTAAAGTTTGGTGATCCTGTATAAACTGTAGCTTTATTTTCCTGGCTAACAGGAGTGCCACCTTGTGTGCTCTTTTGCTTCTGTAGCCCATCTGTTCTACATGTTGTACATTCAGAAATGCCCTTGGGCGCAGCAAGTGGTCATTTGACTTACTGCAGCCTTCCTTTCACTTTGAAACAGCCTAGCCATTCCCCTCTGACCTCTGGAATTTAAAAGGCATTTTCACCCAGAGGACTGCTGCTCACTTTATTTTTATCAGACCATTTTCTGTAAACCCCAGAAATGGCTGTGTGGGAAAGTCCCAGTAGATCAGCAGTTTCTCAAATACTCAGATCAGCTCAGACCAACAACCAGCCACATTCAGAGTCACTTAAAATGTCTTTCTTCCCCATTCTGATTCTTCACCGTGTCATCTTGACCATGTCTACATACATGCATTGAACTGCTGCCAGGGGCTTTAAACTTTAATGCACATGCAATTGCATGACAGTAGATACAGTGAGCGTGGAAAAATGTTGAACACTGTTGCATCTGTCAATCACAGGCTGCCCATCATCTGGTTTGTAAACGATTGCTGATGAAATGAGAAAAATAACTGAAATACAAATTTATATTATCTGCCAAATTTGTAAGAGAGCATCTTTCACTGGGGCTTATGGGTTCAGTTTTATTCTAAAAATCTTGGATCTTGAGTAAGTCTTCAGGATGTACTTGGAGGCATGTTTTTACACCCCTGCTCTACTCTGTGCATTACTTCAGGTGCTGCTGAATGAGTTAAAGGTTAGTTTGCATGTGCACTTGTAAAATATGCAAATGTCCTTTCCATGACTCATCGTCACCATAGCATTGGTACAACAAAACAATCACACTTGCATGTTTAATATTTTTTTTCTAAAGAAGGTGGAGTTTAGAAATAATGCTTTTGTAGTTTATAGGGTAAACCTTCTCGTAAATCCATGTAGTTCATGTACGAGTGACGGTGAGCACATGAGGAAATTCAGTTATTTACTTTTTATTTATTCTTTTCGAGTAAACAACATTAGTTAAACAACTAATAAATTTTTTACATGTTTTTGTAGATCAGGACAGTTGCTTTGGACTCAAGAAAAGCTCCAGACAGAAATACCCACTTTAAAGCATTGTGACAAACTCTGTTTTCTTCTTTATTACCTGTGCTTTGTTTGACAGAAGATTATAAAAACCACTGGTGTGACAGTAAACAGTTGCACACTTTATTTGAGCTCAAAAATGTAAAATTTCTGAGGCAGTTGGGCACAAAAGGTGTTTCAGTAACAATCCACAAACAGCTAGCTAGGTGAAGAGGCCTAGTGCACAAGTAGTCTAAAACCATGCATAGCTATACTTTGCTGTGGACTTTAAATGATAGAGCATGTCCTGTCAAGTAAACATGACATTGTGCTTTATTTGATCAACATTTCATTGCATCATTTATGTACGCTTATAAACTTAAGATTCATTATTTAATTTACCCAACATCTCCTTAGCTGGCATACAATCATGACTTGTTATGTATACATAATAGAGATTAATATATGACAACATGGATGTTAAAGCACTGTATATCTTCTTCAACGATACTACGATTTTATTTCTAGTATATTCTAGCTATTTACAGGCCAAAACCAAACAGGCAGCCATATTTGTGCATCATGCCCCGCTGTAATACACAGTAAACTATAAATAAACAGGTTATAGAGTGTATTTACTACCAATTTACACAAGTCCTTGCCTCCGCACAAAAACGTGAGCAAGTGTAATGTTTTTGAGTGATATGATGAAATAATGTTAATACAACTTAATATTTGGGCTGAATAAAACAACTCCCTCATTGGGGAATGTTTTTTTTTTTTAATCACAAGTGACCGTGCAGGATTTCTTATTGCTAACATAATGCAAATGAAGAACAATTTTTAACATACAAATAACTAATAGAGTCATTTGCAACCATTTTAAGCAAAGGAACAGGTTCATTGGTACTTGCCACAATGGTAAACCCTGATAATGGGTAAATTCAATTTTAAAAACAATTACTCAGTTGAATTTACCTGGAGGTATACCCGCAGAACCATTTTAATCTGTACAAAATCTTTTTTGTTTCAATGTGGGGGTTACTGGGGAATTGCTATTCTGTTACATAATTAAGGCGAAAATTGCCACCAGCAGCAATAATATCCCTTGCTGAGGAAAATCCCAAGATTAGCATATTTATACTTACAACTCTTACGGTTTTGTTTCAAGATATTTGAAGGGGTACTCCAGGTGCTTCATGTACTACTTCTCTTTTACAAAGTCTGGGACTTTATAAAAAACCCTCTCTGTCAGTGTCAGTTGTGTTATTGTTGAGACCTGCTGAGAAATAAACTGGAGCTTATCCCAGCTCTGGCAGGATGAGAACTGGTGGACACCCTGGGCTGGTCGCCAGTCTGTTGCAGGGCTAACACATGGAAACAGATAACCAATCACACTCACATTCACCTGCAGCCATTTAACCCGACAAGCATGTGTTTGGACTGAAAGCCAGCATACTCAGAGGAAGTATGACATCCCATATGGAAAAGATATATATTAATCTTATAAAGTTTGTACCTGTCTTGTGTGAAACTTGTATGAAAAGCATACAAGAGTGAAAACACATATAAGATCCCTTGAAAAATTATATAAATGAAACTTGTATGTTTTGGATACTTACTAAAACAATATATGAAAGTAATGAGAAAGTGGCCACTTTCATGAGTAAATCATATAAGCGCCTTGCATGTTTTTACTATTTCTTTTCCATATGGGATTGGCTAACCCCCCCCCCACTTAATTTTTTATTTTATTTTTTTAAGTTAAACAGACGCAGCCGTAGCAGCAACATCCTAAATTTTAGTCCTTGGTAATGGCGGAGCTCCAAAAATCCTGGATCCTACACTGCAACTCGATTTTCCCCTACCTATTAAACGTTTGCTGCTGTATCCAGACCTTAAAATCAGTCCATTGCAGTTGACTCATTAGGCATTTTGATGTGAAACAGCAGTTTCTCTGGAAGAAAAAGTAAAACCTGTCCAGATGACTGCTGTGGAAGAACGAGCGATTATCGCCGTGAGTGGGACTAACACTCCTTTCAAGCTGTTTACAAGTGTTAGCAATTGATTAGGGAAGCCCGAGGTGGCAATGAAAATAATATCATGCAATCTAATGAGCTGGCAGTTTTGTCTGATATGAGGCAAAAACCTTTCAGCATCTTCAGCTTAAGCACACTTTTTTGAATACAGAGTTTTATATAGAGTCCAAGCTGACATTACACAAATATGTTGTTTTAGTCATTTTCTCACACTCAGGCTCCTCCAGGGTCAGTGAAGACATTATTCAAGTGCTTTCAGTGGGTGTGTGCTGCTCTCTGCTACTGGCTTAAATGTAACAGTGATGGAGGTGGACATACTGTAATTTCAAGATTATGGGAGACAAAGCATTTATCTGTAAAAAGATTTGGTGGAGTGACTGTTCTTTAGAGGCCAGTCAGACAATAACTGTTAATCCTTTCAAACTGCAGTTTGTGCAGTTTTGAGAAACAGATTAATAAAGAACACCAAGAAATCATAGGGATTGGTCTTGAAGTCTTCTAGCACAGAAGAAGGCTTTGTCCTGCTAAATTTCTTTTAAAACCCAGCATCACTGGGAGATCTCAGCAAGTTGTGCCAGTTTTGAAGAAAATAAGACATCGGTCTTCAGCCTAGAATTATCCCCACACACACACCTGATCACGTGTGTTTCGCAGAACTCCCTTTAGTGTACATATTATTTGCAGCTCTTAACTCTCTTATACTGAGGCCATGCATTTTTGGAAATGCAGATATAACAGAGCAAGAGCAAGTAAATTAGGAACCAGATGTTTTTGTGCTTGAAAATCCCTGGAGAGATTAGCTGTCTCACTCACTCACACATGTACATCCAAACTCATACACACAACTCTCCAACCTTCAGAGTATCCTTAAACCACGAGGAAACGCTCAGCCTGGCTGATGCTGTGGTGCAAGAGGCATGTTGTCCTAAAAGATCTGAGGACACTGGCTCCAGTCTTGTCTTTCTTTGGCCTCCCAGTAGCCACCTTTGTAGATAAAAATGTTATCGCCTGTCTCGTCTGTCCTCTTCTCAAACCACAGTGGCTGGTAACCCTCAATATCTTGCCCTAAAAACAGAACATATGTGCTCATTTTCAGGATATTGCAAAGTTCTTTCTTCATAGACTCTAAATATTGTAAAATTTGCCAATTACTGCAAGTTTTTGTCAGGTTTTGTCAGCTGTTGACCAAAGCTAAAGATCGATAGTCACTCATTTTATAACAACAGAGCTTTCACCTGTGCTCTTTGTTTCTAAATAAGGAAAAATCTGTTATTGCTATGAGCTCACTGCAAAATAAAGCTCTGAACAGCTGCTTGATCTGTGCTGAAGGTTGGCACAAATGATGCAAAAGCCAGAAAAGTCTTTGTCATCACTGTTCTTGTTCATTTCCTTGCACTCACCCTCCTCCAGGGCCTGGTTAGCTTGCGCCCTTCTTTTCCTCTCCAGTCTCTGTCGTTCCTCTAGACGTTGCTTCTGACTGTTGGCTTCATCCCACAGACCAGCCTCCATCAGCCGCTGGTCTGGCCGCAAGCGACTGTCAGTGGGTGCGACGCCCTCTTCTGGCTCATTTAAGGTCAGCGCCAGAGAGGAGAAAAAGTGCATGTTCTCTGCATTTTCTCTGGAGGACGGATTAGAGAACTCAGTGTGACAAAAGATGCAGACCGAGAAGGAGAAATAGCACACCGACACACTCAATCATTAAGATGGAGCACAAAATGTGTTACATACGGAAGGGGATATTTCTTCCACAGTAGTTTGGGCGGAAGAGTCTGATAAACCGTCTTTTGTTTCCCTTCGGAGCCTCCGCATCCTTGGCTGCTATCCACTATCTTGGCACTTTCCATTTTGTCATCCCAGGTTCCGGACAGGATGTAATGAGCTGTGCCCTCTCGGTCCTCTACCACTCCTGTCACCTAAAAATAACAAAGAACATAGCACACAAGAAGAGATCAGCCCTCATCAGGGTCTTTAGGTTTTTTATTTACTTTCTTTTTTTAAAATCCATTTTAGTTTCAGTTTTTGCTGTTTGAAAATGTCCGACTATGAAACTGCATGTGCACTAGCTAATGACATGCAACTGGGAAGCCATATGAGAATGAGAGCGTGGTTGCACACCACAGAAACAGCATTACTGGGATTTATAAAATATACCTAATTAATATCATTGCCTGTGATAAGAATTTATTTTACCCATGCAACATCCTGCCAGTACCTTAGATGACCTCCGAAATCATGTGAAAAACAGGTGGACAGCCAGCTTTTCAGATGGGGTCAAGTCTGCCCGAGTCTGACGCAGCTGATCCTCTCTTATTTCTTCTTCTTTTAATGATCCTGTTTTCCTATTTGTGTTAGTTACTTGTTCTGTGTTCTATTATGCAGTGTGAGAGAATACTAATAAGCAGGTTATATAACCTTATTCACTTAAGTGTTTAAATTAAATATGTTTAATCATCTGTTTTGTGTATGACTGTGTTTTTCATATTTGTGATGGTTCGGGGTGTCTGGGGATATCAATGCCCTTGCCGAAGGGCAGACAGCCAAGAGTGACGGTTGAAGGTATTTTCTTTCGGGAGTGATACAGGAATTTTTTAGGAATAGAAAGAAGTTGTCATAACAAGGATGAAGCTGGTTTCTCTCTTTGTGCAAGCAGTCGTTTCCCTCTAATGCATCAGCTCTGGTTAAACCTGACAGCTCAGTCTACTGAGATGGAATTTCCACAACATAAAGTGAAGACACAAATCAGCACTGGAAATTAGTAGAGCTGTTACTGCTGAACACTGCTGCTTTTCTCCATTAAGGGGCATTTTCGCTGCGTGTTGCTGGTTTTAAGGCTGGCAGAAATAGAAAAATAACTCATGGAAAAAGAACCGTGAAAGGCAATTTGGCTTTCCAAAGGAAGATATGCTGCTAGATGGAGTTTTCAGCCATGTGTTTTGTCTCTGTGTAACCTCTTGGGTTAGAAGAAAAGGACTGTAAGACTATATTTTACTTTAATCTCTTTCCAGCTCTCTGGCTGTTGGCTCTTGCTGAGAATATTAATAGAAATATTGCAATCTTTTACTTTTCATATTTCTTTCATCTTTTTTTAGCTGTTGTTTGGTTCAATGTGCTTAAAATGTGGTTTAAATGTATTTAATTTATCACACATTTTTTGCCACCCATGTGCACACATCATCGCCCTCAAAGAGAGGTTCTTGTTCTGTTAGTTTGACACTTTGTGCCCTCTTTTTTCTTATTTCTCCAGCTGTAAGGTTGGTAATCCTTCTTTTAAGTAGGTTATCCATTTTTTTCAATATTCAATATTAGTCAATATTAGGAGAAAGTTGTATCTGTTAAAACAGCATTACAGATTCTCTCTAAAGGGCTTGTGTAGCAGGAGACAATCGGCAAATGTAAGACTGTGTTAATGTTGTAGTTGTCTATTAGTTCATCAGAGACTTACTTTGCGTGGGACCTCCCTGGAAAAGTAACTGTAGGGGGAGAATTTAAGACGACAGGTGTCCTTTGTTGTGGTGTTTACAATGTCAATGTCCCCAGACTGCCAACAAGAAAAAAAAACAGATGTGACTTAAAAGTGTACAGTGACTAAAATTACTTTCCTTTATGCATGGAAAAAAAAAAAGAAATTTTGCTTTTGTTTGCTGGATGTTTTCCTTATTTCTTAAGGAAATTACTTTCAAATCAGTTGCTGTGGATCCTGTTTAGGCTTACCACTTGTTCAGTTTCCCCAGATTTTTTTAAGGATATGCCAAGTTTCAGCTAATATTGTCACTGTTGGTCCAAAATTATTATTTTCTGCCTGTCAAACTGTGTTATCTATATATATATATATTTAAATAGATTTGACTAAAGAGATTTAGCAAAAAGAAATAGAGTACATAGAGATGCAATTTAAATCCCTTCATTCAGGTTGTTTTTTTATCCTGGAGTAATTCATAGGTCCATTTTAACGGAATAAACAAACAAGCATAAAAAATATTCCTCTGAACATGATAAGCTACAAAGACTAGTCCACAAATGAATGAGAAAGAAGCTAATACATAAAGAAACAATGTAAAGGACCTTCAGAAAGCTTTTCGAACTACTGTCCAAGAGGAACACACCTGATCAATCCAGAGCTTCCCTACAATAATATTGTGCACTGTGGAAGTCACTTTGCTCCACACATAGTGGTTTCCACTCGAGTGGAACTGCAGGTGAATGTTTCCTATGGTAAAAAAGAAATGCATACAAAACATCATGCAGATATTTCAGTGTGTTTATAAATCAGATCTCAGATGTAGTAGCATTTGTGCTCATATAAAGTGACTGTCATCGTGAACACTCTGACTGCTTCTTACCTAACGGCACCACGGAAATATATTTCCCACGAAATTTGCTGTCAATAGTGATATGCTGCCACAGGGTCCATCCTCGCTGTGATGTCACATGGTGGGCAGCAGCTGGTGGGTGATGACTAACCTGAAAGTGAATTGTATCAGCTGGTGTCAGTAGAGCCAATATAAGCGCAATATGTTGGGTGTTTGCTCTCCTCTCCATTGTTTATAAAATATGATTAAAGACACATAAATGCAGTAATTAAGTGTTTCCTTGCCTGCTCACAGATGGAGCGATAACCATACTCATCCAGCCGATCCAGCTCATAAGTCTCCCCCAGCAGAGGGTTGAAAGGCTTGGCTGTGCGATGGACTGTGGTGGAGTAGGAAGAGACAGAAAAGGCAGCCACCAGGCACATCTGCTCCAGGGACGAGTCGCAGCGAGCGGCCCGGTCCAGAAGCTCACTGTACTCCAGATCCTCAGTCAGACGCTGGAGCATCGACAGCGGCTCGTTGAAGTTTACCTGCAATCGCACATTTCATACACATCTAATTAAGTTCCCGCCACATTAAGCTTTGACTAGAGCTCATTAGTGGGGAATGCAGATTTGTCCACTATTTACAGGCATGGGTATCTTAGATAGATCTTTCCCAATGCAATTTTTCATGATGCTCCACAGGTTAAGGGAGTAATTTGGTTTGTCAGGAATACGGCTGCGCCTTGTTCTTCGTAGCTGCATGTGGTTTGCGCCTGAGGTGTCCTGTAGAGAAAAGGACAAGCTAAGATGAATAGGGCTACTCAGTAAAGTGTTTTTCATTAATATCCGTATTCTTGTGACATACATTCTCATTGTGAGTCCAGTCATTGGGCACGCCTCCACTCATCATACTCTGATTACTTCCTGAGCGCCTAAGTGAAAAAAAAACAAACATTAAAAACATTCACAAAAATAGCTCAGCGGGTTAGACATACAGTAACTGTGTAGAGATGATGCCTCTCACTTATGCGCTATGTTACCAGTAGCAGTCACAGTTATGAACGCGGGTGAGTCCTCCATGGCATCGAAGAACTCTGCCTCGTCATTCTCATCGCTCGCATCTCCCTCCTGGGATCGCTCCACGCCTACGGCAGCAAGCACAGGACAGGTCAGCTGAGAGTCCTGCACATCCTCTACATCCACACAGAAAGTAGCAAATAATGGAGACTAAAAAGACTTGCATGTTTGCTTCAGGTAATAAAACTTTCATTAATACTTGCCTTAAAGCGGTATGACGAAGTTGTTTAACTATTAGTAGCTTCGTAATGTTTGCTTTGCGGGTTGCTTTTAATTGCCATGAGGCATTTCACATAACTAACATATAAATGTCTTATTTACCTTTATAAATGTTATTTACAGCAGTTAATGATTGTAGGTGTTCTGTGCTCACACTCTGTGCACTGCAAAATAAGGCCTTCCAAGCTCAGAGACACATACGCACAAGCCCAGGGACGATTAACAAACACTGAAGCTACACTTCAACATCAACATTGGCCGCTTTGTTACTTTTGTGCGCAAATCTCAAGTTGTAACCATTAACCTGTTAGCATAATTTATACCAAACAGAAAAAATGTGCTCCCAAAGATTAACACTGATCACAAAAACAGTAAAACATAACAAACTACATCAGAAAAACCAAAAATCACCAAAATAATAGTTTATTTGGTTACTGTAGTTTCTCATGCAGATTGTAGATAAATATGCTTAAAAAAGGTTAAAGTCTAACTCAAGTAACCTGTCTGTGCACCACCCATTGAAGAGGCCCATTTGCTCTTCGGTGACACAGGATGTCTGGGAGACAGACAGAGTCTCACCTGTATATGAGGTGGGATTCTCCCTCCAGGCTCTCTCTAAGCTGTTGTGCTGTTTGGCTAACTGTTCGATGGTCTCCTCCAGATGGTGACGCTGTTCTCTCTCATGCTGCAGGGCCTTTTGCCACCTCCGACTGTGAGATTCTGCCACGTCCACAAAGTCACGACAAGCCTGAGGTGTGAACACAAAACACATCAAAGAATGCGGGCGGCACCCTCAAGCTCTATTCCCCCTTTGTTTAAAAAAAAGCATTTCTGCTAGCCTCCCATTAGAGTGGCTACATACTGGGGGAGAACTGAATGGCTCACATTGATCATAGCATTGGAGGTGATGCGAAAGAGGGTGGCTCGCTCATTAACGGCTTTCACTTTGTCTGTGCTGTCAGTGGATCCACGCAGGTCCTCGAGTTCACTGAGGGAGCGCTGGAGGGCAGCACCATGTTTTCCTATCAGCTCATTACAGGTGCTCAGGTCATCTAGCTTGCTGGCCAGAGTCTTAAGCACCCCTTGGGTTAGAGTACGATCCTCCTGAGGTACTGGGACTTCATCCCCCGAGTCGTCTTCAAACACACATGCACAAAAAAAAAAATAAAAAATAGAGCCAGGACAGAATTTTATTCATTTACTAAAACAGCATCATTAGAGGTTATTACATGTAAACAGAGTGGGTGTTTGTGATGGTGTAGTAAACAGCACACTGGGATGTAATGGCAGATTGAGAAATGCATTTAAAATTTAGATTGAGACAAGCTGAGAGAGCATTAATGGGGACTGGCTAGAGGAAGATATTAACACTTCACACCCTGATCCACCACAAATCTTTCTCTCTACAACACTGGAAAGCTGTGAATGAACACTGTTGCCCTGGAAACGTAGGTCTGTGCAATCAGGAGGCAAGGCTATTTTTAGAGGAAGAAGGAGAAAAAAAAAAGATGACGCACTACCCTTTTCTCCTCTGTCTCCCCCTCACTATCTCTCTCTGTACCCGTTTGCTGGAGTAAGCCAAACCATCAGTCTGAAGCTTTAATGGAGGAGTGTAAAGAGACTGGGCTGATTACAAAGCATCATGGAGAGATTTATGACAATGCTTTTACCTGAAAGTATCTCATTTACAGTCCCATTTTCACTCTTGGAAAGTTAGGCGTAACAGTTTTTTGTACCTCACTTTGCTTATATATGTACACACACACACACACACACACA